AAAGGGAAAGCAACACAGGCCAAGTGAAGATAAACACACGGAAGCGAAGTCCAGTCGAAGGCAGTTTATCATAAGGATGACCGACATATGGCAATAGTCTGATAAGAGACAAAGTTCTTTAAAGACGAAAACGCTATTCAGTTTGGAATTCAATTTGTCTTTGAGAAAACGTACGACCAGTCTGCGAACGTTGGCATCAGCTGACCAGTCTGTTCGACGACCCACTGACAGCAGAAGAGGGCGTTGTTAGTATGCCTTCTGGATAGTGCGTGCTTATTTTGATAATCAGAATGATAGAGTACAGCTATATAATGAATGAATATTCTTGCCAGATCACACGAATATAGAGCTGCAATCATCAACAAAGATATCTTTTCAGCAAAACAAACCTATTCTGTATATATTTCTCATGTTAACACAGTGAGGAGTTCTATTATTCGTCAACACACTTGTGATGTTTAATGTACCAGTAATTACGATCTTTGGCATTTGTCTCCTCATAACAAGTGTAATTGGTATTATTACGGTTACATACAAACTAATTGTAGGCATTTCGTTGAAGGGAACAATGCCAACCCACATCAGATAAGAAAATATATCAGTGATGTTTATGAAAAGGGCTCAACTCTGTACCCTGAACAACCTTGTACTACTATTGGGCAACTTCAAGAAAAGTCCTATACTTCTATCGCTTCGTCTTAACAGAAAGAAATAATAGTTTGATTTATGAATGCTAGGTAAAAGACATAAAAGATCGCAAAATATCAGTTTTAATCAAATATGAAATGTAGATGCACTCATCAGGCAGTGAAATCGTAAAGCTTTTCACTAGCATCCAAATGATGATATATGAATCCTAGGCATGAGGATTATATTTAAGGACCAACTCTTATTTCAATCAAATACACAAAATTGATGCATTCACCAGGCAATGAAATTGCATTTTTCATTGGCGTCTGAACAACATGATTTTATAAGGTAAGTAAGGAATCAGTAATAATGAAACATCTGTTTTCTTCATAATAAATATATCATATTCTTATCACCATAATGCCAACAATTATGTGACAAATACAATATAAGTTAGAATTACTGAAAATGACATGGAGCGTCTAGTGCGGGAGGCCATAGCTTTGGGAAATGGCCGCGTCCGACCCGCGTCCCTTGAAGCTCCCCTGGAAGACGGAGGGCGATCCCTTGACGCCAGAACCGGATGAGGCCAGGCGATCGCCGAACTGGTCCCCGGATGAGGATCCTCGAGAACCGGTGACGGAAGCGGGAGATCCTGAGGGAAATTCGGAAGAACCGAATTCAACGGAGCCTCCCTGAGTGCCAGTGGAAGATCCCTGAGTGCCACTGGAGGATCCGTGAGAGCTAGAGAGGAACCCAGTTGATCCTTGAGTGCCAGTTGAGGACCCCTGGGCGCCAGAAAGGAAGCTAGTTGTAGATCCTTGAGAACCAGCTTGGAAGCCAGTCGAGGAACCCTGAGTACCAGAATGGATGCCAAACGAGGAACCTTGACTACCAGAAGAGGATTCCAGAGAACCTGAGTGGAAGCCAGTTGAGGATCCTTGAGAGCCAGAGAGGAAGCCAGTTGAGAATCCCTGAGAGCCAGTTGAGGATCCCTGGGTGCCAGAGAGGAAGCCAGTTGAGGATCCCTGGGTGCCAGAGTGGAAGCCAGTTGAGGATCCCTGGGTGCCAGAGAGGAAGCCAGTTGAGGATCCCTGAGAGCCAGTTGAGGATCCCTGGGTGCCAGAGAGGAAGCCAGTTGAGGATCCCTGAGAGCCAGTTGAGGATCCCTGGGTGCCAGAGTGAAAGCCAGTTGAGGATCCCTGGGTGCCAGAGAGGAAGCCAGTTGAGGATCCCTGAGAGCCAGTTGAGGATCCCTGAGAGCCAGTTGAGGATCCCTGGGTGCCAGAGAGGAAGCCAGTTGAGGATCCCTGAGAGCCAGTTGAGGATCCCTGGGTGCCAGAGAGGAAGCCAGTTGAGGATCCCTGGGTGCCAGAGAGGAAGCCCGTTGAGGATCCCTGGGTGCCAGAGAGGAAGCCAGTTGAGGATCCCTGGGTGCCAGAGAGGAAGCCAGTTGAGGATCCCTGAGAGCCAGTTGAGGATCCCTGGGTGCCAGAGAGGAAGCCAGTTGAAGATCCCTGAGAGCCAGTTGAGGATCCCTGGGAGCCAGACAGGATGCCAGTTGAGGAACCCTGAGAGCCAGCTGAGGATCCCTGGGTGCCAGAGAGGAAGCCCGTTGAGGATCCCTGGGTGCCAGAGAGGAAGCCAGTTGAGGATCCCTGAGAGTCAATTGAGGATCCCTGGGTGCCAGAGAGGAAGCCCGTTGAGGATCCCTGGGTGCCAGAGAGGAAGCCAGTTGAGGAACCCTGAGAGCCAGTTGAGGATCCCTGGGTGCCAGAGAGGAAGCCAGTTGAGGATCCCAGAGTGCCTGAGTGAATGCCACCTGAGGATGCGAGTGTCCCAGCAGCAGAGCCAGTGCCTTGATCGCCCG